AATTCCCCAGCCAGCGTGCTGGCTGGGGAATTCTGGGAGTTGCAGTCCACGCATCCTAAAGTTGCCGAGTTTGAAAAACACTGAGCTAGCTTAAACATCCCTCTGTGAACAGATGAGGATGTAGCATGACGATGTCTGCTCTTCCCCTCATTTCCTATGTCCTCATCCCACCCATGTGTGTGTGCCCTCCCCCAAGATTGTCTGTCACAGGCCGCGACGAGAACAGCGTGGAACTGTCGCTCGGTGACGGGATCCACAAGGTGATCCTGACGGCGAAGCCTTTTCGCATGGACTTGCTGGCAGGGCGGGAGCTGGTGCTGAGTGTCAATTCCCGGGGCCTGCTTGTCTTTGAGCACCTGCGCCAGAGAAAGGACTCGTGAGTACCTGGGGTCTCCACGCAAGGAGTGGAGAGGGTTGTTCTGAGGCACGGTGGGGTCCTTTTCCTTAGAATGGGAGCCTGCTGCTAGAGGGGGGCTTGGTTCACTGAGGTTAGCATTCCTGGGTTTCGTCCAAATGGGTTGAGTGGGGCTCATCTGTCAATCATCTCTTTGGCTCCCTTTGTGGGAGCGACCCCCATCCGTTGGTAGGGCCCAGCTGTTGAATTTTGGGAAGGAAGATTGACGGTGATCCCTTTTTCTTGCAGCCAAAGGTGCTGCAGAGGTGGGGAGTAAAACTGGCAATCAGGAACAGGATTCTTCCCACTTGGTCCATTCCCTGGAAAACGGACAGGATTTTTGACCACAACAGCCATATTTTCTCACTAGAAAGGGAATGGGCTTTGCAGTACTTCTGGATGCAATCTCCGGAAACAATGGCAATTGCAGTTACCTTTTCAACCTCAATTTGATGGAGAGCTGTTGGGCTAAGGCAGTGTTTCTCAACCTTGGCACCTTTAAGCGGTGTGGACTCCAACTCCCAGAATCCCCAAACCAGCCAGGGCTGGCTGGGGAATTCTGGGAGTTGAAGTCCACACAGCTTAAAGTTGCCAAGGTTGAAAAACACTGGGCTAAGGCCTCCAAACAGTTTCCTGGCTTTTTTTGTGGAAAGTTAAAAAAAAAAAAAAACTATTATTCAGGTTGATGCAACCTCTGTTTTTCGGCATGTTTTCGGACAGCTGAGGTTCAGGGATTTATGGGCGTTGACGTCCCACAGAATCCAAAGACTTACAAGCTTCCCCTGTCTCGTGTGAGGAAAGCAGCAAGCTTTATATCCATGTATCTACCTCTCTGTCTGTCTATCTAACTATCTAGGTGGGTTGTAGAAGATAGACAGATGGAACACTTGGTTTCCCCTATCCTTCTCTTTCCTAATACTCAATGCCCCACCCTGGCTGGCTGCCCTTCCCCAGGCAGGAGCCAGGCCCAAGGTGGCGGGGTGGCGGTCGGGGAGGTTGGGGGCATCTCTGAGATTCCATGCACTGACTCTCGTGTTTTCTGTTTTTGTTGGTCTGTACCACCCCCTCTCGCTCGGCCCCCCCAAGTTTCTCGGATAAAGTTAGTAGCACGGTCGTTAGCATTTGGGATAGGATCAAGAACCTTTTCTCTAGGTAAATCTGCAGCTTCTGCTACTGTTTCTCAATCCCCTTTCCCTGCCCCACGGGGATAGTGGTGCTGCCCTTCCTTCTGACATATACAGCGGGGGAATCTCACCCCCCAGCCTCTCTCTTTCTCTCTGCCCCTTCTTTTGGGAATTGAGAATTACGTCTCCTTTCCGATGGTCCTGCAGAAGAGAAATGGGGACCACACATAAGCCAGGGTGTGTGAGTCTGCCTAGTAAGAGAGCACTGGGGGTTGATTGAGATCCAGGGCTGGAACAGAAAGGTGTTGGGGGAGATATCCAGAAATATTTTTAACCCCCCCCAATGCATCCATCCTGGTTCATTCAGTGGGCTGTAACGCTTTCACTAGATAACAAGCATTAAGAGCTAACAAAGCCACATGAAAACTTCCACCAGGTTTCAACCTTTTAGGTTCTGGGAACTACCAGAGAATCAGAGAAGCACTTGTGGAACATGGGTCGATCACAGTTAAGGGACGTAGATCACCCCCACCGAAAATCCCAGCTAGTTGTTCCCAAAGAATCTGGGATGTATAAACCAAGAACAAACTCTGGCTTCCTGGCTTTTAAAGGGCACAGCAAGCTAGGATCCCTCAGTGTGGAATGCCGAAACCAGGCACCCCGAATATGGGCACCCTCCAGAGGCATAGACTTCATCTCCCAGAATGCCTAGGTAGCCTAGTCATTGCTGAGAATCCTGGGAGTTCAGGTCACCGATGATGAAAGGCTGCAATAAGCTTGTGAATTTTGTTTAGGTGGTCTGCTCACGCTAAGTGGTGGAACCTAACAGGAGTAGCCTGAGTTCATCATGCCAAACTGTGTGTGTAAATTGCAAATCTGGATTCTCTAAAATCCTGGCTTAGCATACCACGCAAATGCGATAGTCCAGTGAGCTTCACGACTGGCCAAGGATGCCTTGGAAGCACACCACCTACATCCAGCAAAGTCAGATGTGAGCCTCCATCAGGACTAGTGGATCAGTAGCTGAAAAGCAAAAACAGGCCATCACTTGCTGCCGGCTCTCTGGGTAAAATTGGTCTCCAAAAGCCAGGATATTTCTGGAATCTAGCTTGTTGGTTACTCATGTCGATTTTCCTCCCTCTTTTCTGAGAAAAGATAAGTCACCAGCCAATCTTCTTTGATGGCCTGTGTGCAGAATCAGGCCTCTTGACAGGGAATCGGATTCTTTCTATGTACAATTCTGGTTTTCTTCTCTTCTGGACTCCGGAAGGTCCGCGGCATTCCTGATGGCTGGCCGGCAACTGCTTCTTGAACTCTTAACTGCCTTGTCTCATTTGGGGGACGCTGGTTGGGGAAGGCTTAGGGTAGCTCGGTGAAGGTACCGAGAAGGCCTCTGTTTGGGCAGAAGACAAAGATTGTCCTTGGCTAGAAGCATAAAAAGGGATCTGTCCCAAGGGCCCAACAAGATATGGGCATCAGTAACTGGTTTTACCCCGTTCTCTGCCCCATGGCTAGCTCTTCCCCCAGTCCCCCGATTCCCTACTAACTAGCTGGGCTGTGAAACAGTGTGTGTGCTTAAATTGATTGATATTGCAGTTTGTTTGTGCCAGGGGGTACGTGTGGGGGTCCAGACGTGCACCCAGACATGGACGCACACCAGATCTTTCTTTGGCGTTTGATTAGCTTTTTCACTTGCTGTTCCTGGGTGGGGAAAGGTGGGGGATCTCAAACTGAGCCTTTCCTTTTCCCATCTCCTTTCCTTCCAGAACACCAACAAAGGAACCAGAGTCAGAAGGGGAGGGGGCTACGGAGGCCTCCGACGTCCCTTTGCCTTCGGAGGAGGAATCTGCGGAGAAAACGGAGCAGGTGAATCCAGAAACCCGATTTTTCCAAGAGTCAGGCAAGGAAGTGGTGGCCTTGGGTCTAATTCCATGCCTGCTACAAAGAGAGAGAAAGAGAGAAGAACCCCCCCCTCCAGGATACTAGAAACTCTGCTTGCCTGAAATTATCTCCACCCTTAAAATAGCCATACTTACCTTACAGTGCCTGTTTTTTTAATTGTTATTATTTATAATAACTGGAAAGAAACAACGTTCCCCCACCCCGCTTACAATATGGCATCGAATAGGGACAAACATCAGCAAGGTGGGCGTTTTGGAGTGGCTTTTTCCCTCCCATCGATATCTAGCAATGCCACTAAAGGAACCCTGAATATTTATGCAGTGTCCACGTGCCGTGTCCTTCCACAGCACGCCCTTGTGGCTCGGCTGAAAGATCCTTGCTTCCTTGTATGTTAAGTAACTTCAGACAGATGCTGCAGTTAATAGAGAACCGAGCTTTGTTCAATGGCAGAATGGTTTAAATTATTACCAGCGGTAAGGATTTTATTGTTTCTTCCACTCTTCCTTTTAAAAGAGCCCGGAGCAGTCTGTATAAAACCACAGCACCGCCCAAGGAAAGCAGTTTGATCAGGCGATCGGCAGTAAAATCCATCTCCTGTTCAGCAAGGCAATTAAAGTGATGATGGTACAAAATAAACATGATTTCAAAAGTCCTCATTCAGTGCCTGGCATTGGGAATGTAAAACAAAATCAGGAAGGAAGTAATGGGAAAGCCTTCGTGCTTTCAGAGCGGTGGTTCATCGCGTGACCCTTTTGTGTTTTTTTCTAGCCGGAGGAGGTATCCAAAAAGGAAGGCGAGGCTGAAGAGGATCCTGGATCCTGGGAAGAAACTTTCAAGACCCACACAGATAAAAAACCCAATGGTAAGAGCTTTGTACTGGGTATGGGTGCTTTTTAAATTTTATTTATCTGTATTACGTCCCCCCCTTTTCAATTTGGAAAGCACTGGATTGAAATTATAAGCTCTCCTTTCCCAATTTCCCAGTACAATGACTGTTTAACATGCTTGTCATTTAGAAGGCTGAAAAACAGGATCAGCTAGATCAGG